ATTTAGTCACAGGTAAAGGCGAAAAAAAATATTTTCAAATAAAACGACGAAAAAACAGAAAGAATCTTTGCTAGAAAAGAACGTTTTTTTTTTTTCTGTCTTCAACATTAAATCTCATAGCCTAACACCTACCTGCATTTTTTCATTTCGACTTTCTATAACGTATATATTTATAAAACAACGATATTGGTTTAAACCATTCAGCTCATCGTGGGAAGATATGATTTGGCCGAATACTTGGTTCTCCTAGTGAAGTATAAGATATCGTTACCCATGAGTATTTCTAAAAAGAAAACGCGCATCAGTGGACCGTGGTCCGCGGTCAGAGTTGGGCAAGTCCGAGCCCCTTGCAGCGTTTTCGATTAGGTGAGGGCATTCCTCTACATTGTTTCGATCAGTTAGTGAATGGAAATTGAGTTACTCACTTGCAAGCGATTAAATTTCTAGCTAACTAGGAAAAAAAAAACGTTCTTTTCTAGCAAAGATTCTTTCTGTTTTTTCGTCGTTTTATTTGAAAATATTTTTTTTCGCCTTTACCTGTGACTAAATAAATTTGATTTCTTCGTTATTCAGAGTTAAAACGTACACTAAAGAAAGAAAATTTTATCCACGGTATGTAACATAGTAGATAATGTTTATGTTCTTTAAAAATAGCTTAGACTATGTACGAGCAAATTCGGCAAGAAGCAATCAGGTGTACAAGTTTTCTTTAAGAATAGGCTTTTCATAAACAAATACCATTACAAGAAACCTTCGACCGCGTTTTTACTAAAACTGTTTACTGAATATGCGCGAACTCTGATACAGTATTCCCATCGATGGCCCCAGTTGAAAGCAAATAAAAACACAATAAAGTGCTTAATTTAGATTTTCAGAAAACGGTTAAAGAAACAGCTTTTTAAAATATAGTTTCATTTTTCCGATGAGAGAATCTTCCCCGGAGATTAAAAACTTTCCTAATTAAACATGGATAATTAAGAGTCATTTTTGGTGCTGATCACGAATCTAATAACCGCTTCAGTGATTAAAACTTTCCTTGGTTGGTGTATCAAGTTCGAATCCCCGGACCATCCATCAAAAACTTTCGGCTGAACAGATGACCTGTCTAGTTTCAAGAGTTCATCAATTTAAGCATGTGGAAAGGTTTTCTGAGCTACTAAAACAAGTTTTAACAGAGTTATAATAACTTTGGTGAAAGAAAAGTTCAGACTTTACGCCGTAATTAAAATTCAACCCTGCTTAGTACTTCTGAAAACCTTTTCACATATGTATCTTGATATATTTGATGATTCTTGAAGGGATTGCCAGCCTGTCACTGGATTTTATTCGAAGAATAAAATCAAAACTTTCCTTGGTTAGTGTATCAAGTTCGAATCCCCGGACCATCCATCAAAAACTTTCTGCTGTACTAATTTTGAACATATTATTTCTACTTGTTTATCGTATTTTATATCAGCAGAAATTGTTCCATTGAGTCGATTATTACAAACACCAACGCTAGACTTTGGTACTGATAACAGATACGTTGATACTCTACTACAAACATTTGAAAAAGGAAAAATTGACGGTCCAGGCTATTTTTGTAATATTATTTATTAACATTCAGAACAATTATGTGCAGACTTATTTGTTACACCATCAATTCAACGTCATTCTGTTACTGCATTAAGAAAGAACCAGATAACAATAACAGATCTCGAAGAATATTATCGTGATCATGTTTATATACCATTTTTGACTGAATTAGTTGATAATATCAAAAATCGACTACCAGGAATGAGAAGTCCACGAATTGTGTTGTTAACCATATTGAGATCAGAATTAATGAGAACAGAAAAAACATCACAACCAAATACACAGTTAGCTGATAAATTTGTTTACCAGTGTCGACTGCACCAGCTGAACGACGTTTTACTCCCTGAGCTCGTATAAAACCATATCCGAGATCAACAACGAAAGAAGTACGACTGAATGACTTACTGCTGCTTATATTCGTAAAGACATTGATATTGATTCACAAGAAATATTAAATTACTGTATACAAAAAAATTCACGACGTTTAGACTTTTGATTTAAGCAGATAAGAACTTCACAAAAACCTAACTCTCTTATTTATTTTATTCATGATGATGTATGCTTCATTTCTTACAAATTGAACACTAACAAGCTCTACAAAAGATGTTTAGGTGATTGAATAATAAGATCTGTCTGTACAAAAGGATTAGTTAGAATATACGCACACTCTTGCGGCACGGTAACAAGAAAGACGGAAAGGTATCAGAACTGACAACGGTTGAAAACATTTTCTGGCTGATGTTCTGCCACCTAGGTCTAACGATTTTTTTGGACTGTATCAAAAATAGTCCAAAAGTCTAAACATCTCGGTTACACCACTGGTTCATACTGCGTAACTTGATCAAAAAATTAGTGTATAAATGTTCTCATTCGATTTTTGATCAACGATTGCCCATTAATTAAAAGTTTTACTTCTTGAAAAACCTCTTGCTCTATCGATTGAAAATTCAGAAAAAAAGATGAAATTTTTCACAGTGGAAAAACCTCTTTTCTCTCTTTGCTTAAAACTATTGCTTCTGCAATAATAATTCACTAACGACCAAACAAGTCATAATATCAATGTTCTAGCTTTAAAAAAATGTATTCCCTTTTTTATTTTACGACGCAACTTTAAGAACCGTTTGATGAAAGCAAAGCGTTTCGTAATCAGAAAAAGAAATAGGAGAGTTTTTCCATGTCGTCCATGCATTTTTATATAAGCTTGCATCCATCATGTTCCTTTTGCGTATACTTCAAAGAAAGAGTAGCAGTTATCTTCATATGAGAGGAACATTCTCAAAACATTGAAGAATTAAGGAAGAGAATAATAAGCAATATAATATTCGACATTCGCTCTTTTACTTTTCTAGGTATTATTCCATGAAATGTCAACTGTTATTCCTGTGGGAACTATAGTGGCTGATGAAAAATGTTCTGCTATCAGAGGTGGGCAAGTCCAAGTCCGGACTTGGACTTAAGTCCGGACTTGAAGCATTTCTTATCGGACTTGGACTTGACTTGGACTTGAGCCTCAGTGGACTTGGACTTGACTTGGGCTGGAGGATTTTTTGTCAAGTCCGTTTTAAGTCCAAGTAAAATCTATCGTATTCAAGAACGAAATCAGTGTAATGCTACACGTAATTTAATGTCTCTTTTTATCAAACGTATGTCTAATGTATAATAACATGCTACGTCTATATATTTACGAATCATATCCATTTCTTAATCAATTGGCATCTAAATTATTATGTGTACCGGCAACATCAGCACCGGTTGAGCGTGTTTTCTCACAAAGTAGATTTCTTATGAGACCACATAGAGCCCCAATGTCAAAAGATACGCTTTCACGTTTAACACTGTTAAAATGTAATTTTAGTTTGATTTCGTAACTGTTGCGAAATTAAAATGTTTCGGCGTAACATTTTTTGTTTTTCATTACTTATTTTTGTTGTTCATGTTCATGTTCTTGCTCCTGTTCTCATTAATATTTGATGTTTCAACTGTATTTTTAATATTCAAGCACACATTATTGTTATTACAGCAAAACATTTTTGGTTGGACTTGGACTTGGACTTGACTTGGACTTGAGAAAAAAACTTTCTGTTGGACTTGGACTTGACTTGGACTTCGAAATGGTCGGACTTGCCCACCTCTGTCTGCTATTAACAAAAGTGAATAAGAACATTTCTTTTTCTATCACTAATTCATTCAATTTAATATTCAAAAAATTGATCTCACTATAGATAAATGATGTTAGTAATTCATTTTAAATCTCTTCAAACTACACTAGACAGTGATTTAAGGACCCTCCCCCTCTGTCAGAAACATAAATTTTTTTACTAAAAGTCCATATTAAGCTAAGTGCTTTTTCAGACAGCCCACAGTATCTACTATCAGGATCCAATGTTATTTGGTTCTCATCCAAGGGGTATGAAGGTTTTTAGAAAACTTTTCTGAAAACTTTGAAAAGCTGACTTTCGAAGACAATTTACTTTCCAATTAAAAAACATATGCAAAAGTACTCTCATTACACCTGGAAATAGACCAAACATTTCTGATCAAAATGAGATATCTCCCAGTTCTAAATGATTTTCTAATCAAGAGTTATAAAAGTTTTGATAGAAACCCTAAAACTTGCATTAAATACTGGCGGCACCGTCGAAAGCCACTTTCACCTTAACATCATTTCGTAGCTTCATTTCTCGGTAAAGAAACATCGCAGAGAGCTCGGGAAGGTCCTGAATTGAAGTTGACATATGTGGCTAGAGGCTAATAGAGACCGATTTTTGATACTTGGTTTGGATTTGTGGTTGAAAAAATATCTTTATACAAGTTAATGGGACTTTTTTGACATATAGTCATTTGATACTATATAATGATGAGATGACAATTGTCTATGTACTAACGATTATAATCGTAATAATATTTCGCTCTCCTTCTTGAAAAATGGTACATGTCAATAATGTTGAGTTAAGATCTTGAGTCAAACTAACTGAGAGTGACGAAGTCTTGAGTCAGGACCGTCAAGATATCTTGATCTTGGTCTATGCCTAGTTCTAGGGAATCAAATATCGTCTGGAATACAGTACTGAATCACGTCTAGTATGGTACTAGTGGCGACTGAGATAAGGGGCACCCATCGTTGTGCGGGCCACCCGTGCCCCACCATTCAGAAAACGAAACATTTCGGTTTGTAAATGAGCAGTAAATAATAATTGTTGTAATGGCAACACCGATATCCATGCCCGATGAAAACAACAATCCATATCGATTCCACCACCATTTGTGAACAACTGTGGAAAAGAAAAATCCAATGAATAGCCACGTTGGAACCGTTCCGACAGCCATTGTTGGTATTAAACTACCAACGAAAAATATTAGAGGAAAATGAACATGTTTTAACCATTTTATTCTGTGCCATATTTTTTGTTTAATAGCCAAAATGCGATTGGAAGTAATGCACCAATCAAGAAAAACCATAACATACTCGAGTACATACCGGTGGGCGGTATGAATGCAGTTTGACTCGATAAAATGTTTTCTCCCCAAAGTGAAGCGACTGAGATCCATGAATGGGTTGTATGTGGGCAAGTCCAGCTCACGTTATTCACACAAATACCGTTGATATTGTTTAAGAAATAATTTGCCATTGCATAGCTTGTTAAAACTGACACAGTTGTACCAATAACAACTGTGGAAAATAGTGCTCTTGGCGGTATTTTCATAAAATGACTAAGTTTTAAATACAAAATAAGTGTCAATGCTTGTGTTTGTGTCTGTATGACAAAAGTTTTAAATGTAAGAAACGCAATGGGATTATCTTTTATAGCCACAGCAGCAATAATGTAGCCGATTGCTGTTATATTTAATATCTGATTAGTCTTTGCTGCTAGAATACCTGTGGGTAAAATATATACCAATGCTACTCCAACACCCGCACATACAAAATACCATTCCATAAAATGTGAAAAATGCATCACAATACACGCACAAGTAAAACTGAGAATAAAAATACTTCCATACCACCATTCAGGAACTTCCGGATATTTTGACATTAATTTACAATGTATATCATTGTCTCTACGATGTAGGGATGTACGAAATTGCTTAATGATGTCTCGTCCATGATACAAGACAGTATGAATAAGAATCGACGATAATGACGCAAAATACATACCATAGAATAGAATCGTACCCGTACTTCCATGAAGCACGAAGTTATTTCCCGTATCTACTAATACAGTATCGAAGGTAGCAATTGGAAGTGTTTTTGAATTCCAGAGGTTCGTGTAGTAGAAAATAGGAATAATTATCCAACTAAACAAAAAAAAACCTATGAGTATATTTGCTTGTGCCCAGCATATTATTCTTATATTACTTATCCTTGTTTATGGATTGCTTAGGCGTCCATATGAGCATTCCGAATAATATTTGAATCGATTCTAACGTGGTGTAATTATCGGTGATCCTAAGTATGACGTCAATAATTTCCAATCAAACTGAAATGAGCCCATACCAAGACCATAGTGACCCGTCAATTGAGATAAGATGATATTCTTAGGGTTTATCAAGCACATCCATGAAAAGGCTGTTAAAATAGGCATTATATATCCAGGTAACCAGTGATAGACGGTCGCTATGGAACAAATAATAATAAAAAATTGTAGCCGACTAATCGACCATCGCGACGGTGATGCCATACAATCAACCACATCTTTCTCATGCAATGTTCGAAACAGTGCTATATACGGTAAATTACCCGGCCAAATTAATTTTGATGGCCATACAAGAAATCGTCGCATAATACCTAAAATGGATGCGAGAACACATTTGTATGCAGAAATACGACCAAACATTCTTGTAAATCGTTCGCTATCATTAAAAGGATAGTTTACCGGCAATACTGTAGCCAATTAGTTGAGATGATAAAATGAAGAGAACATTGACAATAAAATTTGGTTTTATGCTATAAATTGTTCTCATAACTGTAACAGTATCAATTGCATATGTTGTTTGTGCTGCACTGACCATTACATAAATTATAACATGCTCTTTGATAGAGAATGGACCTGGATTTAATGAAAAATTACGATTGATTAGTGGAATGTGCCAGGTTTTTGCTGGTAGTATCTTATGCATTAACCTCCCAATTGGATACGATAGAACAATCACAAGCATAGGTGACATTGAAAATGTGTCTGTTCGGAAGTAACAATATTGATTTACAATCGAGAAAATAACAGTTAAAAATAGACCAATGAACCATGTACGAAACGTTAAGCATAATATGGATAAATCATCTCTGTTCGATACGATAGATAAAATTTCTTCGTAGGATAATTGCTCAGCATCAATGTAATCATTCTCAACATCTATTCTTGGTCTCGTTTGACTAGTTGGTTCCGTCATGCATGACGGAACCAACTAGTCAAATATATTGAATATAGTGGAAATCGTTATAATTACCTCAAGGTCGCTGAGCACTACGATATTGACCAAGTAATTCTATCTGCCGTGGGATGTTTGCGATACGCATGAGATCGTGAAACCTTTCATTCTTAAAAAGTTATGTGATCTTTTTGAGCAAGATTTTAGTGATCTGTGTATATTTATATGTAGGTGAGGATGAATATATTGAATATGGTGTATATATGGTGCACTTTAGCTACTTTTAAAGCTCCAACCTACATTTTAAACTTTCCACTTTCGAATGTGTAATTTGAGTTCCATTTTTCGCTTTCCACTGGCTTCAAGTTAACTATTACACAAGCTACTACCGTTCTAGTCATAATTTTGCTTACAATTTTTGCTTACAGACAAAAATAATTCTTATGCAGATCAAATAAAAGTGGCAATGTGACGTACATGAAAACAGTGTTTTTGCAATTCGTATATTTTCTTATGAAGCTAAACGTGTTCTTTTGATATTTCTACTGCGACTGAGACTGCACATAAAGACAGTATCAACGCTCGATATTCATCAACTCTCAGACATCATAGAAGCAAATCCATACATGTAATTCTTATCTTAGGCGCCTCAATGGTCGCTGTTGACTAGCACTGCATCATAAGGACCGCGATCTGGATGGTCGAGTACAAGTATATTTAGAACAGCGTATCCCTGGATTGTGCTTATCCACTTTAGTATTTGTTGAGTCAATTTT